CCTTTTCTTGTTTCAGGTTTTGCTGTCCTGAAGTAGCCCCTGTTGAGATTTCTGCTGAGACAGCCTGTGTACTGCGCCGTGAGATGATTCCAGCAGATCCTCGCAGGATAGGGTGTCTTTCCTCATGGTCAGGATGATCGCAGAGCATGTCAGCAAATGTACAAATTGAATTATTCTGGCAGGCCAAGCGTCTAAAAAAAGGGCCTTCTCAGAACTCATTGCCAGGAAGTGAGGGGGGAAGTCGGTGCTACACAGGGTTGTGAGGCCCATCGGTGAGGTTCTGTGAATAGAATTCTGCAGGACAGTACAAAGTGCATCCCACACCACCCACTGCATCTCCTATCACACTCCAGGGACTGCTACACAGAATGCAGTCTTGAACAAGATCACCAGCAATGCGGAAAGCAGCGTTTAAACATTATGAAGTAAAAAATGTGGTTATCTAAATGAACCTTTGTGAGTTTTCTTTACTTTCCACTGAAAACAGTGCTGAAGGAAAGTCATCAATACTTTATAGCTCCTCTAACTAGAAACATCCAGTTATGTACAGTATTTGATGGATATCAAAGGCAAGAATCGTATATATGCTACTGAATCAAATAATTCTATTTCTCTTGGTCAAAGACAACGACTTTGAGTTTTTTAAGGAACTTAAAAGGCCTGCTGTCTGGAATCTGATGAAAAGGCTGCGATCCTGATTCATACTCCGATGTCAATGTACAGACCAGTGAAACTTTATGAAGAGTAAACGCGTACTATTTTTGTCATATTTGTTTTTGTGAAACCACCGAAAGATGATGATAAACTCAAGACGAAAAAGTGATTTGATATTTGAAAGGCGCTCCTTCAGTCTGACTGAGATGCGGCCTGCTGCGTTGTGTTATCCGAGGACATAGAGACCTTATTGTGTGCCAGCCTCGTGGAGTTCCTGATGGTGGCTGTGCCAAGCTTAATTGCTGGAGCTGAGCAGAGGTGTCTATTACAATAAAAGAAGACTAGGTCCAACAAAGGCAGTCAGTGTGGGGTTGCCTGAGATAAAAACACGAAAGCTCATCTTTCGTGTAATACAGAAGCTTCTGTTGATATAGGGCTTTTCTATTGCAAGGTATTACTACCAAGTATTGAGAATTTGCAATGATAGCAATGACTTGCATACTTCAAGCGCTCTTCCTGCTATGTTTAAGTCAAGTGAATCAGAATTGACTCCACTTTTGTTAACTATCACTATACATTCCAAAAAGAAAGTATGGATGTAAGTATGTAGAAAAAGAAAGCACCTTTTTTGAGTTCAGCTTCTTTTAGAATTTATCCTTTTATGATGGAACTGTTAGAACTGCTAGAACCAATGGCAGACAAAGTTATTAGACAAAGGTACCTGTTTTTAAATAATTTAGTGCAGCGGTCATCGCCACAGTAAAGTGTAATGAATGCGGGGTTGGGGGGGCCAGTTGTGTGGAGGACAGCCCGAAGAGGCGAAGGATAGGAGGAGGAGGAGGAAGGGAAGTGTGGAAAGAGGAGAGGGAAGATATTGTGTCTGAGTGAGCACGTGTGGAGGAGGGGGGAGGAGGAGGGTAACATTAGTGGTTGACTCCTGTGGAATGTGGCTGCTGACTCAGTTTGGCTTCTCTGTCAGTCTCTCATTCATGCATTCATACCAGGGTCTCATTCACACTCGTGCTGCTGTCTAGGGAGCTCTTGTATTGCCTAACCTAGACTTTCTGGAAAGAACCTCCGAATTTCATGGAAAAGAGACAGGTGGTGATCGTGGAGTGGGGATGAATGATAGCTTCCTCAGGTGTGCCTATCACGAAGCCTCAGGGCTCCCTCATTTCATAACTGCATCAGATAATGATCGGCTGGATAGAATACCCGGCCTCTTCTTGTTCTTTCAACTCCTAAAGGTGTGAGGTCAATCAGCGCTTGAAAAAAGGAGCAATCTTTAAAAATGAGCTGTTCTGAAAAGGGAATGTAATGATGCCACTCACCGAGGAAAATTTTCCTATTCCTTCAACATTATTTAATGATTTATATTTCTTTAACATTAAATTATCTCTGCCCCTTCTTCTGCAGTGCTAGAGTGTCACGCCCTGCTTGCTTTTCAGCGTGATTGCAAACGCCTTCACCCCACGGGCACAGACAGACGTGCTGGGCTTCACTTCTCTTTGTCTTTATGGATGTGCTCCTCTGTAGTCCCTGCCAGATAGAGCTGTAATCCTGTGACCATTTTCCCCCTTACTCACCTGCATGCAGATGTTGAGACTCACTCTGCATCAAGATGTCAAGCTTTGTGTACCTTGTACTTGCAGAAATGCATTGCAGTGCTGCACATTCCAGAACAATTTTTTTATGCATTCCTTTATTCCGTGTATTTTTAAAACCGCAGTAAGCAATAAATGCCTGAAATGACTGTTTAATTATCAGCATAAATGCCCAAAGCATAACGTCACCAATGGAAAGTCAAGTTACACCTCTGAGTGGGAAGTATAATTGGCACATGATTATAGACTTCAGAAAGTTCAAATACAAGTTACATGTGGTCTCAGGATTTAATGGGTAAGCTTGACTATTCCTGCATATGCAGTTGAAATCTCTTTAAAGTCCAAACTGGGCCCTTTTTTCTTGTTGCAAGCTGAAGTTGGAATATCATCACCGTGTATGAGAAAGCAAAATAACTATGGCTCAGGTCATTTGACTGTTAGCATTCACAATGTATTCAGAAAAGAGGCAAGCTCTGGGTGATACAAACTCTAAAACAGTACCAGCCTGTAAAAAAGGAGCCGTAGTCAATGCCTTGGAACTCGCATTCAGCTGTTCTGAGCTGAAATACCTGTGCTGTTCTTCATGTTGCTGACTACTGTAGTCACGTGTCTGTCTCAGTCCTGTACACTGGGTTTGGTAGACAATACCAGCCAATGAGAGGTCATGGTATTTTCCCATGCCTTGTGCACATTCAGGCCATCCAATCACAGTTCTCCTGAAGAAACGGCAGGTGTATCTTAACTATGGGGACTTGGCAGCACTTCACACTAGAGGCTCCGTGACTATAACTTACGCAATGCACCAAGATCTTTCAAGACCTGACCACACATAATGTTTGAATGCTGGATCAGATACATTATGGGATTATTAATTATTATTTTTGTTGCTATTATGTCTTAAACAGTTTGTACTTGTTCTAAGGCTGTTCAGATATTAACACGCACCACATACCCTGCACCCTACTTAAGTATACTCCTGTGGTAATTCTGGACTTTTACCATAGGTTTTTTTTTTACTCTATTACAATTCTCATGGCAAATTGTACTTTATTACAAATAAGCATCAAAGGTAACTACTTTATTTTTTCATTTTCTAAAAACATAGAAATATATACATTATGGAAAGTAATACATGTTTTTGGTGTCATTCTGAATGAATGGTCATGCATGACTGTGACACACTCAACTTTGCACTTGATAAGGACTAGATCACCTCATTAGTGAGGGAATAGGTGTCGATGATGAGGTGATTTAACCTATTGAAAGACAAGCTTAGTGAAAATGGTGAAAATAAGGAAAGAAAAACAGCAAAAAAACAAAATAAGCACCCAGAAAATAAGTGTGTTGTAAGGTTTGTGGAGTGTTTCAGTCTCAATTAACTTTGGCTTAACCCGCTTGGCTGAGGGCTGACCTCCTGGCCAGTGGACGAGGAGGCTGGGACCCCCCTGCAGAGTGAGGAGTGACCAAGGGGCAGCTGCAGAGATGGAGATGAGATGGAGATGCAAAAGACTTATGTGAAGGAAAGAATGTGATTTAAAGTGTTTCAGGTGAGGAAATGACATCAGGAGTGGTTGCAAATTACCGACAGCTGAGTCTGATTGAATTTAGAACATTGTCATCCCTCATAAGTTTTAATTATATACTTCATTTATCAAGAGAACAATGTTTTTGTTCCACTGATGTGTTGGAGGCTTAACTAAATTATATCAGGTAGACTTGTTAGTCAAGCCTAGTCTTTTTTTTAGTGTGTAGACCACCCTGATGGACGTCAATGAATGAAAGTCCACTTGTAGCGATTGATCTGACTGCACAATGCTGTACTGACCAAGCTCAGCGACTGGCTTGGCTGTCCTTCCTGTGAGCTTCATCCTGATGGGATAACACTCCAGCACCGCAACACACATCCTCATGCTGAAACAATGAGTGACACTGGCATTCTTGAGAGAAGAGACTCTGACAAGTATCACATGAATGTCCTGCTCACCAGAGTATTGACTATTCCATTGAATATTTGTGGGATGAGCTCGGATGGCATGTGGCATCTAATGTTCAGAGATGAGTAAACATTCACATGATTGCCCAGGCTTAATGAGAAGGACAGAAATCCAGAAAACTGCATCTGCAAAACACGTGTCACAGATGTACCAACTGTGTTGCATCTACACACTGTAGACGCCCTGTTGATTTACTTTGTTGATAAGAAACTTATCTATGTCATTTCTGTTCATGTAATTTCAATGCATTTCGTAAAAAGAATTTTTCATGTTGCTGATGTGAATTTTGCAGTTGAGGTTAAATATTTCTTTTGTCACAATATAATAAAAATGCAACAACAGCAAAGAGAAAGTATTGTAAAAAGCAGAATAACTTTATAGGAAAGATGTGGAATTGTCCTTTGTACTTGTCTATCATTGTAAATCGGGTGCGAACAAGGAAACTACTAGGGGTTTTTTCCATGACATTACTGAAGCACTGTTCTTGAAAGAGACATGTCAGAAATAGCATCTGTCTGTGATGCAGCCTCTCAGAGGTGTAAAAGACTGGAGCCTGTTGAAGGTAGCACATTGAGTGCTGTCCAAAACTAACAGTCCAGCTGCTTCCTCAATTTGTCTGCCTATTAATATCCAATAGCCAGCTCTGCAAAACCTGGCGGAAAGCTTCGGGACTCCGTGTAAGGTTTTATTTTTAGTTAATCTGGCTTTTCTCTCCCCCATATCTTGCAGTACACAGAACAGCCGCTGCCTCAGATGCTAGTGCCAGTGGTGACAGGACTCTGTAAGCAGAACAGGATTCTGAGGAATGGAAGACAGGCTGCTTTGCTGGAAGTGAGTTCTTTGCAGTTTCCAATCAGTTCTGTAAATGTTATTACATCTCACGCCATTCGTGTTTTGTATTTTTAACCTGTGGAGGGTGTGTTTATTAACAGGTTGATACTGCCATCCTCAGAGGAATCTGTTTTTAACATTGAATTTCCCTGGAAAAAGCAAAGCACTGGTTGTTTATAGGACTTTTGACAGGCCTCTGGCTTCTTCTGTTTAAATTATGCTTTTTTTTTAGTCTAATGCATTCCATGTCCTTCTGTATCTTTTAGGCTATGGGTGTAAACCATACCGTAATATGCCCTGTAAGGCAGGTTATGTTGTTGGTATGGCATATACAGGTAAATGCAGGGTTTGCCAGTCTTGTAGGGGGAGTCAAAATGAGTGACTCCTAAATTCTGATCTCCAGGAGATCTGGAAGTGGAAAAAGTTTTAATGGGGGAAGAGCAATCCAGCAGGAACCAAGAACTCATTAGCATTAATCTAGACAAGGCTTTATTAGAGGAATTCAAGGCAGGACTGGGATGACAGTGTCAAATGAAGTCTGGAGGAAGCCTACAACTGTGTTGGAGCTGTTTCCTGATCCCAGACAAGGTGCCATGGTCTTCAAAGCCAGCTTGGTGCTTTGATCTCGGTCCTCATGTTGTTAAATGATTCTAGCAAGCTGGGAGTTGTCAAGGCTGGGAGCTAAGCATTTGGATGAATAGCCCTTGTTCGCAGGGTTGCTGAGTAGCATGTTGTGAGATCCACACTGACCCTCCATTAGGCCTCCCATTAATTACCCCAACTGCTCAGTCAGACCCTGGACAGCCTTGAATTCCCTTCTCTAAGGGCCTTCTGTTTTTCATTTTAATGGCCACAACACAAAAACAGAACAATCCACATGCAACAGCAATCCAGAGCCCCCTTCAGTTTTTTTTTTGCATAACCTTTAAGAAACCCAGAAAAAGGGGTTTGATTAGAATCTCACAGTGCTGAGTTTTGCACTCATAGTAGGCAGTGGATTCTTTTCTATCACTGACCTCCACTCAGCTGGAAAGAAATGGGCATTTTGCTCATGATTGCAGAGCATCGAACACATTTCACCGAAATGCTAAATCTGGATTTTGCCCAGCCTCTTTTTCTAGGAGTTTCTGCTTGCATCGCTTCGACACAAACTTTGTGCAGGTTTGATTGCTTCAGATAAAGTTCATTTTTTTAAATCAATACCGCTAAACAGGGTTGCCTTCCAAAATCCTTACACACATAGGACTGTCGACCCAAGCATTAGATAGACCCTTTGAAAGTTCTACACAATCACTTCATCTTGCTTTTTGATACTGAGGTGGGAGGAGGGTGGGATAATGTTTGTAAGACTGGGTACACATTGCATGTGAGGTTTGGCTGCAATTTGTCTTTCTCCTTGCTGAAAGAGGCGGTTTGTCGGGGCTGTCCTGATTCTAGTGGCTGTGGAATGCAGCTCTTTGCAGACATGCTAAAGGCTGCCACACACCTCCCCCCTGGTTGCTGGCGGGTTCCAGAATGTAACCTCCTGACCTTTCCCAGTAGACTTCCCTTCCAACCGGACACTGAAATCTTGGAAGTCAGGTGCTTAGAATAGAAGCAGCATGTGTATTTAAAGCGACACCTTCTGTAACCACAAACCTCTGTAGACAAAAGCCTAGCCGCAAACAAAACCCTACATATTATCATCAATATTATCAATACTGAACTGGTGCATGCACACTGTATGTATATTCCAAAGAAAATATTTACCCCCAAACACGGTTTTATTTCGAATCGTCAATTTGTCTTATACTCACCCGTGATTTGGAAATGGCACTTGGCGTGGTGTGTTTTTCATGTCTCAGCTTGCAGCTTCGAACCCTGTGACCACACACGGGGGAGAATGAGGAAGTGTGGGCAGGCTCTTCTGACCCGCCCACTTCGAAAGCCTTGTGTTCTGACTCGTCACGGGGAACGCGGCCCCATACTGGAGGTTCTGTGCCAATTGGAGGAGAGGCATGTCCTTCACCGGCTGTAGGGATTGTGCATCACAAGACCCGTGTGCTTGCTGAGAGCCGAGAGAGCCCTAGATGAGTAATCCCATCCTGCTCCTGGTCACAGTCAGCAATCACTGGATCATTCATTGGTTCAGCCTTCACTGGTTGAGCTACTCCAGAGGCCCAATGCACAGACATTGTACTCATGTTCTGTACATAACAGCCACACCCACACAGATGTATACACTGGCATACCCTACATACACAGACACTTCCCCTCACGAAACCTCAACAGGTGCAACATTGTGGCTTGAAATCCTAAGTAGACATTTTTTTCTCAATGGACTGGTGTCCCATCCAGGATGTACCCTTCCTAGTGCCCATTGCTTGCCGAGATAGGCTCCGGCTCCCTTGCGACCCGGAATTGGAAGAAATAGTTAGAACAGGGATGAATGGATTGGCCCTTTTTCTAAAGAAATGAACATGAGAAGAATTTGGAGTGGGGGGGCTATGACAAATTGTGTGCTGCAAAAGAATAGGAAGAGGTGAACCACACACTATAGAGCAGAAAGAAGGAACTGAGAACACCTGAAGAAAGCCACACAAATTCACAAATATCAGCATGCATAGAAAATGCAGTTTCCATATGTAGGGCAATAATTATCTTAATATTCTTTAACACTGCAAATACAAATTCAGTAGTTCAGTTGTGCCATCTGTCCTATAAGAGCCTTAGTCAGATTGGTCTTGTGATGCACTCATGCACATTTATTCATATGGGGTTAGGGGTGTCGCTGTACTCAGCAGATGTGCGGGATTAATTGAATCATTACATCATACTGTTACAAACCTAATGAACAGAACAGATGACAAAATGTAATGCATTTGCTGGATGTTTTGTGGCTTATTGTTACATCAGCCCTATCTTTGAGTTTTGTTAACAAAGGGGACGCACAGTTGGTTCTGAGGTTAGTAGGCAGCTCTTTTCAATTGCTAAGATCTTTCAAGAAAGGATACCTTGAGGTTCTTGAGCATTTTGGTGTTTGTTGGACTCCTATAATTGGCAGCCTTTCTCAAGTTCTCCCAAGTCTTTCTTTTTCAATTCCTATTCAAGCTGCATTTTGTGAGTGGGCTTTCTGATTTTAGTATCATGCCGTGAAGTCATGTCACTGTTGCATCGAGGTGCCATTTTGTGTTGATTGCCCTTATGTTTCATAACTACGCGATTGAGCAAAATGTAACGCACTGTTGAGTGACAGTAGCTTAGGAAATTTCTGGCTTGTGTTTTCCACCACATTACATAAAGAAACCTCCAGGAACAACGCCCACTCACCAGCCCCATTGGGACAGGACTGAGCAAAGCTAGGACAGATTTTAGACTAGAACTGAAGCAATCTGTATACTACAGTATAAGTTACTGTATATTTTGTAACTATACTTTAAGTCTAGAAAGAGGGATAGCAACAAAACTGTTAAAAATCCATTAAAGGTTTTTCAAGACAGATAAGCATGGATGTTTGGTCAATAACAGATAATTATGGAAAACATTGGAATATTTTTAATAATACTCCATTATTTTAATCTATGTTCTATAAATACTGTATGAGGTTTAAATTTAAACAATGCCAAGCCCATTGCCTACCTGAGTCAGACAGCCTGGTGCCAGTGGGTCATAAAGCAATCGGGATGCAGCAATATATCTACAGTATATAGCAGGATGCGGCCTGCTGTATATCTAACGGAGCAGAGAAACTCATACAAATCAATTACCTTAGCTGGAGGACTTCTGCCTAAGGAATACAAAAATGCACTCTCATGCACAATATAGACACGCAATTCTACATCTTTGTATAGGCACACCCAGGAACATTCCACACACACAGAATCAAGCAGGAATGTGCCCTGGCCCATGCACACAAATGCTAATGCAATTATTACGCACACACGCATGCACAACTGCTTTCACGGTCACACACTTGGATGCAATGTGTGCAACCCCTGGAGTCATGCTGTGCGCTTTCAAAATCCGATCAACTCGTCCAGAGCAGTCAGAGAGGTCAGTCGGCCTCCAGTTCAGAACTTGAGCCAATATCTTTGGCGGATTTATTTTTTTTGAGGGAGAAAATGTAAAAGAAACCAGTTGGTAACGCAGAATAAAGAAAACAGCTTGCACAACTCCGGCCTCCTGCCCCTGTTTCTTTTATGGAGTGAGAGATGACACCATCACCACAGCAACAAGGAAAACAAACAATGTGTGGGTTTGCGTATGGATGCTTTAAAACAACAGCTTCAGAAATGCCACTCGGCACACTCAGAGGCAGTGGAGAATGTGGTAGCGCCCACTTGCTCAGATGCAGACAGCACTGACAGAGAGAGTGTTACTACATGTTAAGGTCTCAATGAACATTTGGATAGATATGTCGACAAATGAAACCGCGGAAGGAAGGAAGGATCAAATGACTCCATAATGAGCTGGAGATGGATTACACATAAGAGCAGTTTGCGATATTCACAGAAACATAGGACTCCATTCATGAATGATGTAGATCTGCACTCTTTTCTCAACATAAACTATCATGTAACTTCCCATAAAGAGATTAGTTGACACAATTAGCCTCTGCTGTTGTTTATAGCATTGTAGCCCTTTCTTTCGTTCCTCAGTCGTTTTGGATTCCTGTGCAGGTTGTGCAATTTGTTCTTTGGAATTTATTTCTGCTTGTTATTGTCTATTCCAGGAATGCCAAGTTTTTAAAACTGCTTTTATACATCTCCTTCTTTTGGAGGTATTGGAGCCTCACACAGGGTGTAGTGCAGTGTTTCAGTGGTGAAGTCAGAAGAATGTGGCTGCTGTGTGCCTCCATCTCAGAAATTAAGAAAAGAAGAAAAGGCAATAAGACAGTATCCTGAATAAGAAACAAACTTTTAAGCATTTGCATATATACATAAAAAGACTGAAGGACTGTTGCAATATTGGAGGTTAATGAAATGAATGAAACCTTTGCTTATTCCATCAATGATGATGCG